AGGGAGCTCACACAGAATCACAAGAGTGGCAGGTCCCCACTTCCTGAACTCTAGAACAATGTCACCCTAGGAATACATAAGGTACATCCTGAGCATGTAAATAAATACACAGTATATTCTAGAAATGGAGAGAAGTATTTTTTCTTAAAGTTTGCAGTATTTAAAAAGGAGGTATTAAAGTTGGAAGTTTTGGGTCTCTTTGACTCAGAAAAACTAGCCTGTCTTCAGCATAACTGCCCAAGGGCCCTAAGCAGCCCGGACTGACTACTATCAGTCAAAACAATGACAAGCAGAGTCAGGTGTATGCAGGCTAGGGACTAGCATCACATAGCCCAGAGTGGGCTCCATGTATCAGATCTGGTACAGCTGATCATTCACAGGGTAATTATCCTTTCTCTTACGATAAGTGGATTCAATACCCCACAGTAAACATGCATCAGTATAACAGTAATAGCCCCTCCACAAAAAAAAAAAAAAAACAGTCATCAAGAGAACTCAGACACCTGTTTTCATAATTCAAGGACAGCTGTGAAACCGCCCTGTTAGACATGGGAGAGTCCTTATGGAGGGCTCAGATTATGTGGCTTGGGGAAAAACAATAATTGACAAGTTTAGAAGCAAATGTGGTATGTGTGGGAGAGAGAGATTAATGGAGAAATGATGACCTCTATCTAAAGGATAATAAGTAGCGCCACCAACTGATGTGTTCCTGCAGAACAGTCATGTGAGTGAAAAGGAAAGACAAGAATTAGGTGAGAATCATCTACACATGTGGCAGCTACTGAAGCTACTTCATGGTATGATTCCATATAGGCAGAATGGAGAAGAGGGTAAGCAAAGGGCTAGGAAGCCAGTCTTCAGAAGAGAAACTTTTGAATGTTGGTGGAAGAGAGGAAAAGATGGTAGATGGAATGGGGCCCGAGGGATACAAAAAAGGTTAGGGCACAAAAACAGTGTTAGTGTTGGCCCTGCATACTGGTGGGAAACAGAAACAAACAGAAATGGATAAGCTATATAGGAGTGAACTTGTTTGCATTTTTACTGAATACCACTGACAAGGGTGGATTTAACTTATGTTGACCCACATGGTAGCCACTGGCCACATGGGACTACAGAGTACCCAAAATGTGGCAAATCTAAACTTTGATGTGCTGAAGGTATGAAATAACAGATTTTCAGGGCTTTAGGAGGAGTTCTAATATCTCAATTTTTATATTGAATACATGTTGAAATGTCAAAATTATTAAAATAGATTTCAAATTTTTATATTTGGATGTTTACTGAAAATTTGTATTCATTTATTGTGGTGCTAGGTATGAAACCCAGGGCCTTGTGCATGTTAGATAAATGCTTTACCATTGAGTTTCACCCATAGACCATTTCCCCAGTTCATTTTGAATTATTAATATAGTTCATTATATCTCTATTGGCTAGCACTGTTCAAAATGGACCACAGCCCTAAACATGAAAGATAATGGGAATGGAAGAGAACACATACTATCTACATGACTTGTGGTAGGAGGGGGTATCTTAAAGGGAACATAAAAGAGCAATTTTTGCCGGGCGGTGGTGGCGCACGCCTTTAATCCCAGCACTCGGGAGGCAGAGCCAGGTGGATCTCCGTGAGTTCGAGGCCAGCCTGGGCTACCAAGTGAGCTCCAGGAAAGGTGCAAAGCTACACAGAGAAACCCTGTCTCGAAAAAAGAAA